TTTGTGTGAGTGGTCTTTAGAAAGGTTAGTGTGTGACCCTTCAGATCAATTAGAGTTTCAAAGTGATGAAGCATGGGTAACTAAGGTTAGCCTCTTGAAATTCCATTCATCCAGGCAATTCTGTATATCCAGCAACGTGACAATTCCTTTTTGTGGTCACTTTGCACTGTTTTGCTTATAACTAGAAAATAACTGCACAAAATTGAAGGTATAAATAAAGAAAATATTTGAAATCTTAGTATCAGTCTGGAGAATTGAAGTGTCCAAATATTGAGGACTACTGAAGTCAAACAGAAACTGACGATCTGAGAAACCAAAGTTTATTTACTAAGCCAAGTATTTGATGATTTTGGAAACCAGGTAGAAGACACATGTTTTAATTTTAATTTTCATAAAAGTGTTATCACAGTTAGGCTCTTTTTTCCAATTCAGGTTTCTTGAGAATTGTCTCCTATATATAAGACTGCTAACACACTGTTATACAAGTAGACACAAGAATGCAAGCAGAGGTGATCTGACACACTGGCTACAAAGTTTCAGGTTCATTTTCACCATAATGACAGGAGAGGGATGCTAGGCTGAGAAAGCAAAAAAAAAAAACACCTAATATTGTAATAGATTGGTCAACTTGGGGACAGTTTGATATGTTGTAATGATTCAGTGACAACTATTTTTTGTTAATTTCCCTGCTGTGATTATGAGGCTATAAGAAGAAGATATAGTTAATTACAGATTTATTAACTGTATGGTCTTCCTTAAAAGTTACCTGCATCTAAGCACAAATCAAGTAATTTTTTTAAATAACAAAAACATCATGATTGACAACAGCAAGACTGCTCCAAAGTACACTTAGCTGGGTGAAGGACTCACTAATAGCTACTATCTCTTTCTTTATATTTCAACTCCTTGCCTCATGTTTGCCTGCTACAGGCTAGTGGCAACACATCCCATATCTAAAGACAATTTTTATCCCTGACAGAAGCCATATCTTACATATAACTGGGTAATTATATGAGAGCTATCTTTAAAATTGCTGACTTGGGAATTGCTGACTATGCAGTGGCTGAGAGCTCAGCATAAGTGAAGCCCCACAGCATTTACCTTACTTCTCAGCTGAATTTTGCAGCCCACACTGAGTTCTGCATTGCTACAGCTCAGCTGTTTCCAGAGTTGAAGATGGCTCATTAAGGTCTCCTAAACCTGCTGCCACAGTGAAGTAACATAACTGAAAAAAAATGGGTCCTCGAACTAGGATTCTCTTATCCAAGCATGATTTTCATGCATCTTGTTATTGAGATGCTTTATTAAAACCTTTGTTAATCTGCATGAACAGATAAAATTTCCCAAAGAAGGTTGTTGTGGGTTTTTTTTTCCACAAGTTATCTATGAGAAACAGAGTTTCTGATTCTTAATGATACTCAATGAGACTAAAAATACTTTAATTAGTACTAGCCATCACTGAGTATTATTAAAAATTTAGCAAAAATATAGACTACCACCTGGTCTCACTTATAGGGAGTTTCTGCAGTAGAAATTACAAAGGCAAATATATTCTCTCTACTGGGTGTAGGGATATGCAATTAACTCCAATTAAGAAAAAAAAAGTTAACATTTGTTCTGTAATGTAGCTCAGACTTCATTCAACATTTCCCAAATAAAGTATATGACATTATGAGGTGCAAGGATGGACTGTGGTACAGAATGTCCAAGCTACCAAAGGTTCAAGTTAGGTTTGTTAGGGTCTTCAACAGCAGAGACCCAAAGGCAGCATCGTGATGCACCTAAGCTGCTGCTACCAGTATTCTGGACTCTAGATAGCTGATCAAAACCACACTAACTTGATGAAAATACTTAATAATGCCTACTTTACCATTAGAATTTTCCAGAGGTTTGAGCTTTAGCCATTTATTAAAAGTTTACACCTTCTCCAAGATGATTTGTTGCTATAGTTCACAAAATTTCATTACATCCCTAAAAGCAAAAGGGCAATACTAATGCATGTCTTACGAACTAATAAAATTTTATGACTATTTTTCAAGGTTAAATATGTTGTGTGACTTCTTTTTAAAATGGAAGGGCAGTGTAAAATTAAAATGAGCAGCAGAAATATCTAGTTTAAGGAATAAGAATACTGACCTGGAACAGCCCAACAGAAGAATCAGTAACACTGATTTGTGAATCAATTACTTTGCAAAATTCATTTTAAGACATTGATCTACAAAATTTTAACCCCAAATTTATATTTTACTTGGCAGAAAAAATTATCGCAAAGACTGCAGTATTTCAAGAATCTTCCTATCACATCTTAATTATTAGTTTAAAGGCAGAAATGTCAAGAGATGCCAACACACTTTGCCAAACTTGCCCGATCAATCTATCACAGAAACAAAGAACAGTTTAACTTGAACTCAGTCACATTTCCAGTCTTTATTACTTTTACATTTGTCCTAATTAGAAACAAGTGCTTTAACTGCCAGCATAAACCAATAATGTAACTGTTCATCTTCCTATATAAACCTAATTTCTTACAAATAGACATAAAACTAACACAACACAGAATTTCAGAAGTAGAAGTAACGAACTTTATGACTACTTTTATTTGCTTTCTATTCAGTTTTTCTCCCTGATATCTAAGAAATATTTACCCCTTGGTATATGGGGTTCTCATCCTCTGCGATTCCCTACCAGTTCAACAACAAAATTTTGGAGAACTACAGAGCAGTCTGGGTTTTTTCCCCAGCAGATCAGAGAATGACGACTGGCAAGGTGACTATTCCCAACCTGCTCTAAGTTGATCACACTGTCCTACCACCAAGGGAAAGGAGACTGACAGATGCAATTTTATGTTCGAAGTGCTACTTCATGCTCTATAAAGAACTCTACATTATGACATAGTACAGAAATTTGAAACAGTATTCCCAAAGTCAGCATGTCTCAGTGACACAAAAACAGGGCAATTCAGAAAAAAAAAGCACGCAAATCAAATATGTCTTTTAAATAAATGATCTCTATAATCATACATAACTTATTCAAGTAATAAATTTATATGACCTAAAGTGGCAGGGTGACATTCACATACACATAGTGCTAAATACCTTATAACTGAGGGTGACATAATTTACTAATTTGGGCCATTTGCAGTACAAGATAATCACCAACATGATTCCAGATATGGCTTGCAAGCCAGGCCAGTTAGATAACTTTAACATTTATAGCTTAAAATAAAATCACATTTTAAAATCTGCTTATCTACACATCCAAATGTTCTTCCCAATAAAATGCCAAGGAAAATATCACAGTGGTATATGGAAAACTAAGACAGAAGGAATTACAGGACATTTGTATTGTCAACTCATTGATCTTGTTAGTTCTTATAAATATTATGGGTGCCCTCATGACTGTCCTACAGCTTCTGTGGTTATACTCTGGGCCTCTGATACACACTATATTTAACCTTACACAAAACATATTTCCAGATTAAGACCTAAAAATGTCCTTTTTAGGATCTGTGTTTCAGACTGATCTTAATGGATTTACTGTGTCTAAGAAAAATGCTTGTGTTCAGCAGACGGCATGCTTCCAAATCCTGGTATTTTAACTAGTGAAAACTCTATTTTTTCTTAAAATACTAGTTACAATGGAAAACTTCCTTGTTGAGCCTCTCTCCCTACCAATTACTGGATAGGGGTATGGCAGTCTTTCCAGTGCAATATATATGTTTATTGTGATTAATCAATTAGAAGTTTGGGGGGGAAAAAAAAGATAATTTGGCATTTTCTTCCTTTACTGAACAACAACCCACGACATTGTCCTGCACAGATTGATTATTTTTTAGATTATCAGAGCCAAAACAGTCTGTAAAGTAAGCCTTCAGTGACACAAGTAGTCATGCTGATGTTCAAGTCAGATTCTGGTCCATTCTGTGCAATATGCTATAAAGCTCCTATCCTATTTTGTGCCGCCTCTTAGATTGCTGTTCACAATGTAGATTCCCCCAAGTCTTTTTTAGCCCAAATTTAGTGGAGAGATGACAATTACGATCCACTTTACCTTACCCTGCAGACTCCAAAGCTCTGTCTTCATATCTGCCCTTATATACTATGCCCAATATAGCTCTGGCACTCTTCCAATACTAGTTCAGCTGTGAGATCAAGAAGGTGCTTCCCCTTACACAGACATGATGTTAGTCAACAAGCAGCTGTCATTCGCCTATACTCTTGTATATTACCCAAATCATGATTCATAATCAAGATAGCACAGGCTGAAAAGTCAATTGCCTGTTTCAAATAGGTCTCTGCTGCTGAGAACTGTCATTTGTCAAAGCAGACTCTCAGTTTAATTACTTACAGAGAAATGACTATATTCTGAAATTTCTGTACCAGGTGGTGACTAATCAAGAGTTCAAACAAGGGTGATGGAAGAGATCATATAATTTTGGCGAATATAAACAGATTCCTTACAGATAATATCATGCATCTGACTTAGTACAATTCTATTGTTTTTAAACTGTTTTAACTCATTGCTGTTCAAACCTTTATATAATATGAACAACAGTCTGTCAAAATGTCATTTAATATTTTTCTCAATTCTCAGTCACTAATTTTCAAAAATGGAGCAGATCTTCCTTTATGTAACATGAAAACGCAAAGTACTTTACATTTTGAACTAGTTCTATAAGGTTGCTAAGCACTTCATTAAAAAAAACAACAGCTTGGTAAATAGATTCCTGCAAAGGGCTGGGCTTAAAGAAACTCTATTTCTAATTTGGATTTTTGCAACCTTCCTATTAGGAAAGTATTTAAACCTCTGCTTTGTTTTCCCTTCTACAACTTTTTGCTATTAATCTTTATTCTGATGTTAAGCTCTCATGGTAGCTAATGGAAGACTATAATCATGCTGTGGTAAGTAAACAGTACTGTATGCTTTAAAATATAAACCTATACCTTCTATAACATTACACTTATACCAATGACTATGTAAAGGATTATTTGGTGGTTTACCTGGTCTTGAGGAAGGAACTCTTGCTATCTCTAGGGAACAAGGCTTTTTGGTCACTGCTACGTCTATCGAATCACAATGACTGCTGTCATTTTCTGAAGGAAATGCATCCAGAGGTACAGAGGATATTGCTTCCAATGCATAACCTCTCTTCTTTGAATAAGATTCCTGAAATGCAAAAATTCAAGCAGGTAAGAGAGATATTTCTCAGATGACACAGGAAAAGAACCAGGGTCAATAACTCTAGCTAGTAGGGTTTAAAATTCAGCAAATTAAATACCACATTCTGTTGAAATCCAAATTGTAACAGACTGGAAGAATTACTTGGATTCTAGAAGATAACATTTCTGTTTCTTTAAATTTTTGTGTAATATAATGCTTGTTTAATTTACAGAAAAACTTTATTCATCAAACTTGGTATTTAGTGAAAGCTGTATAACTGGTCTTGCCATACCTGCTTTGCTAGGTTCTAATTCGGGAGATGTCTTTTTTTTTTTTTTAATTATATCTCATGAGAGTGACAATTACATTAACCACTGCAATTACTTTCTCTTCAGGGATGGGTTTGCAGTATGTTTATATTATACATAAGAAAACTAAAAATATGCCTTCTATATTAGGATGGCAGAATCCCAGTTTGTGAATGAAGATAAAATACTGCTCTACATTTGAGCAAAATAATGATGAAAGGTCTCTTAACAGTGAGATATAAATATAGAAAATTCTACTCATTAGCAAATGTTGAGGGAGGGAAAAAAGGAATTCAATGTTTTGCTGGTACAGTAAACTGTCCAATCCAGCAGACTGCCTCTGCCTTAGAATGTGAATAAGAAGACAATATACAGCTTCACCAAAGTTTCTTGATTTGTGATTTTTTTTTTTTTTAATCCCAGTAGAAAGCAATTGCTTGGGCAAAGACATGCTTTCATTTCTTTCTTACACTGGACATGTGGATACCTTGGAAAGTCAAGCATCAGACATAAATCAAATATGATATAATAAAAAGCAAATGGCAAGAAAGTGCCCTGACAGTTATATACTATCATAGCCCTACTCAGAAAATGGTGAAAGAATGTGATGACTAGAACAAACTGTGGAAGAACAATTTCCTCACCAAGAACTTATGTTACCTAAGTAAACTATGGCTGTAGGTAACAGTGACTTTTCAGGTAAATGATTTATACTGTTAGCAGATCATTACATCACTGAATTTTTTGGGGCATTTATTTTTTTTCTGGTCACTTTGATCATCTGATCTTTATATGAGAATTCATAGTCTGCTAATAATATCCTCTTGAAGGATAGGGTTGAGACGGCAGCAACAGCAGCTTCACTTCAAAATTCTACTTGATGACTTCAGTTGAGACAGATTTAAATTCTAAGCTAAACCACCACAACTAAAGAACTTTAAAATGAATACTGGAAACAGTGAACAGGGAAAAAATCATATCAAATAAAATAAACAGATACTAAGAATTGTAATTAAAAAAACCCAGTACGCACTATCAAACAATACAAGATTGCTGGTCAGTGTTCAAAAAACATGTCTGAAAGCGGGATGTGATTGTGCCTCTACCTCTTTTACTCTGTTCAGTTTATATCTAGTCAGTGTATGAGCTCTTTGCATTAGTAATCCCACAGATATAAACTAATAGTAACTAGTTTTAGCTAGCAGACTCTAAAGACATAACAAGGAATTATAAAAGTTTGTAAGTGGCCTTCCTACAGCTCCAAATATAACATTTTTAACTTAAGCCATTTCATTCCTAAATTGATAGAGAATTATTGGGAGGCATCAAAGCAGCTGAAGTGCAATGGCAGGACAAAAGGAGTCCTTCCTACCTTGAAAAAAAAAGGAATTCCTACATTGTCCATTTACCAAAGCAATGACTAGAAGAGCAGATTTCAATTTAATCCTTGTATCCTTCTAGAAGCTTGCATTTCAGTCAGAATGCCAAAACCTTAATAATAGTATATATGCCTAGCGAAGCACATGAAGAAACACTGCAGTCTTAAAATTGTCACCGAACACCAAAGTGAAACTCTTCTCAGCTCCTGAATTTGGCTACATTAAAAAAACCTTTAAAAATTATATACAAAACAGAATAGAAATTGGATCATACTTTGTCACCCAATATTCTGTCTGTAAAGGCAGCTAACAGTGCTGACCTAGAGAACAGTGAAACCATCATGGGACCAGGACAAGCACGGAGTAATGCTTCTCATCCTGCAACACTTTGAAGGTCTCACATTTCGTAATTAAAAGGTGCTGACTTTTTTTTGCATGTCTACCAAGCCAACTTTCTAAAATGCTTCTAAAATTACCTTCTCAAGTTGCTTTTAGAGCTCATGTTCCTTTTTACAGTTTGCATGCACCCCATTTTGGTTTCAGCTATCTCACCAAGCTTGACTTCGCTAATTCTTGCACTTTAGAAGGCAATGAATAGTTGTTCTTTACTTATCCTCTATTTATGATTTCACACATCTTTATCCACTTCCCTTGTCCTCTCCTTTAGGGACTGAGAAATACTAACTTACACACCCAGCTGGTCCAGGATTTTGACCACCCCTGTCACTGCTCACCCTCTCAGCCTTCAGGATGTGACAAGGATCAGATTTTCACATGGCATTCAAGATGAGGGCTCACCAAGTAGGCATATTGTCATAATGATGTTCCCTCTTTTGTACTCTACTCCTTTCCTAATTACTTTTAACATTCAGTTTGGTTTTCTGAACATTATTGAACATTCTGTAATTAACACTGCAGAAATATAAACGTTAGTGGAGAATAAATAAAAATGATGGGGTTATTGAGAAAATGGCTGGAATGTAAATTACAGGCAAGTAAATTCTTCCTAAATATCTCCCTAATAAAGCAAATATGATAATAGTATGCCCAACAGTAAGAGTCAAAAAAGAATTAAGAATTTAACAAGTCTGGAATTCTATCAAGTGATTATATGAAGACAACAAGCCTTAATTAAAAATTCCATACGTAGCAAATTCTCTTTGCTGCAGAAAAGCATTGTAAAGCCTTCTGATTGTTGCAGTGTGTTTTCCATTTTGCTGGTCCCAAGCATTTCTAGAAATTTTTAGGATCTAAACTATTTCAATTTAGATGTTAGCAGATGACATAACATTGTTCACAAATATCAGGGATAAAGCAATGTGATTCTGTTTTTTTCTAAGATTAAAAGTATTTTTCTTCATTCTTCAGCATTCTTCTCAATAATATCAGTTCTATTGTCTCACCGCATCAAGTGCCATAACTAGTAACTCTACAGTAATTCTACATGTCCAAGTTATCATCTTCATAATAAAACCTTCTAAAAATAATTTTCCATTATCTTTAGTCCTGAAATCAAAATAATCTGTGTAATTTTTGTTTTAAAAATAGATATTATTCCATCTCAAATTTCTGTCAACTATTCCAAAATGTTGAAAATTAGACATGTAACTGACTACCACTATCAAGTCAGAATTAGTCCTTACTTGAAATTGCAACTTCATAAAAGTAATGTGTTGGGCTTCTAGTAGATTAAAATAAGTCTTTTTTGTGGAAAGGATAAAAATACATACACAATAGAAGTAATAAAAAAAAAAAAAAGAGAATATAGAGAGATAGAGAGTGGGTGAGTCACTGGGATAGCATTAGAGAACAGTCACCCATACTGATAAAATCTAAAGTAGATTTTTGTCTTGTAGAAAGAAACAGCAGTGACAGTGAAGTTGTAGAGCACATGCCAGGGACACACTGTGGGCCTTATTCATAGGTCTCCGGGTTTTTTCTGAGCATATGCTTGATAGTATAATACCTATGAAATGTTATCTGAAACCTTAACAGGACTAAAAGATTGTTTATCAGTGGGAAAGAATTTGCTTCTAAAATATCTATATGTCCATTGCAAAGGGTTATATACAATTGTGAAACAATATGCCATAACACGACTAAATCTTCAAAAACTACATGATGTTGAGTTAGGCCTTTTTCCCACGTTTTTGCCAGATTTCTAGCTACTCTTGCTTCTGCCTTCTATATACTATTGCATTTCTTTTAAGAATCAAACTGAATAATGTATACTTAAGGACAGATATAAGCAGTATATACAAATTTGTGTTTGTATGAGCTATGAATGAAATGAAAGAGGCTCAGCAGGCATCTAATCTGAACAGACACTCTGACAAGAAGATAGAATTTGTACTTAACAGAAAATTTTCAATTCTTCCATCTCCTTTCCTATAGCAATCAGGTCAGTTGAAGCTTTAATACTTCCCTGGAACACGGGACAACACACCAGAGTCAGACATGACTTTCTTCTTAAAGGAGAAATAATCTCATAAATGTAGAAAGGGGGAATGCAATACACCTGACATCTTTAGAAATATTTTCTTTCATTTACATAGACAATGAAGAACTGCTACTAAACTCTGACATACCCCTTGAGATCCTTTTCCCCTGGCTTGCTGCATGCCAGAGGGCCAGCATGAAGAATCCAAGTGACTCTCCTTCTACCATAGTGGGATAAATTCTGCCTAGTTCTTAAGAGAGTACTGTGACACTTTATTAATTAAAACTGTGGAGAATTATTGATTCTCAACACTCTGTCAACCCGAAGTTGATGATTACAATGCGAGTGAGTAATGAATATTGCATTTATCCCATTTATGTCATAGAATCATAGAATTATAGAATGGTTTGGGTTAGAAGGGACCTTTAAAGGTACTCTAGTCCAGCCCCCTGCAATGAGCAGGATATTTTCAAGTAGACCTGATTACTCAGAGCCCCATCCAACCTGATCTTGAATGTTTCCACATATGTGGCATCTACCACCTCCCCTGGGAAACCTGTTAAGAGTGTTTCACCATCCTCATTATAAAAAATTTCTTCCTTACGTCTAGTCTGAGTGTATTTGCATCAAACATACTTGACATTTGTAAACAGAATGATGTATAATCTTATTGAATTGGGACACTTCACACTGGAAAATTAATGATAAGTAATCGAAGGTTGCTGAGAGGAATGAAGAATTCAAGAAAGAAAGAAGTTCTGACCAGTGACCGAAGACAAATAGGATAGTTTTTTGCAGCAAGCTGTGGGGGAACTGAACCTGAAGGGTGTTGTGCAAGTTTTCCACAATACTGCACTAAGCAAAACCAACTGAAAGTAT